TAGTCGAAGCCATGCCAGTCACTCTGCTCCGAGTCGTACTCCAGCTCTGCGCCGATGCAGCGCACCCCATCCAGGAGCATCGGTGTGCCGTGGTGCCGGTCTGTGAGACAGGAGAGGACAGTGGGGATGGGGACAGAGCCGGGGCGCAGCCACTTATGGCCTCAGTCTGGCTGGGGGGGGCTCGTTTCACCTTTTTGAAAGCCCTTTTGGGGAGTTTTCAGACTCACAGGTGCTTATCCTCCCTCCCACAGTCCCCATGCAAGGGATGCTGGCACCCACGGGGCTGGGAGATGCAGGGATGCTGCACCGGGACGGCGCTCAGCCCCTGGTGTGCCAAGGCTCGGGCACTGCAGTGCCGGGGGTGCTGGGGGCCAGGCTGGGACATGGGGTGGGGACACAGTGAGATATAGCAGGCAGCTGCTGGGGAGCAAACTGCCAGCCCTGCCAGGCCCAGGGACCCTAGGACCAGCTGCACGGAAGATGCTGGTGAAAGCAGTTGCATGTCACACAAAGCAGAGGAAGCCGAGCTACAAAACACTGCTCTAATTAACAAACCCAAATTATGCAGCAAGGTGGGGGAGGAAAAAGAATAAAGACAAGCAGCTGCAGCTGGAGGAGAGGGGGACCCCAGTGGGCTTGGGCACAGCCCCCCAGCTGGGCTGGGGAATGAGGACGGGGGGTGAGGAGGTGCCCCCCAACCCACTCGCTGCAGCCCCACTCCATGTACCCCTTCAGTGGGGAGGTCCCACAGCTTCATCCCCCAGGCTGGGGATTTTTGGGGTGGAAGTCGGCTGGTTTAGACAATTTCCCAGAAACGTCCACCAGGTGGGGAAAGCCTACAGCGGTGGAACTGGGTGAGCTAGAAGAAGATGGGTTGGGGATGCAGGGAGCATCCCTGGCTCCCCAGACACAGCAGAAAGCAGGGGGTCTCCAGCCAGACCTGCCAGCGCTCCCTGTTACCGGCTGTGCCAGGGGGGAATTGCTGCTCCGAAACCCAAAGAACCGCACCAGATCCCCGCACCGCTGCCTGCCGGTGCTGCCAGACCCTTACCCATGACACGGGCTTGGACCACCACCTTGATGCAGGCGCCTTCGCCGGCCTCGCTGGCCAGGACCATCTCTTCCTTCAGGACCCCCTCCTTGTGCGCCGTGTACTCGCACTTCACACTGTAGCCTGGGGACAGAAACACCCTGGGAGCTGGGGTCCAGCTGCGAGAGCTGCCTGCACCTTTCCTACCCCATCCCAAAGTCCCTCCTCACCACAGGCACCCAGAGGCAGCAGAGCCTGGGGCACGGCTGATTTAGTCCCATGCCCACCACCGAAGTGCTGAGCAACACAGCACAAATCTTGCTGGGCTCCCTCCCCACCCCATGCCTCGGTTTCCCCGCCTGTGAGGCAGAGACAAGGATGCTGAGCCTTGGTGGAACGCAAAAAGCTCCGCAGAGATGCAGGCGAGGTGCCAGGGGAAGCTGCTCTTCCCAGTGCCAGGCTCGGGGCACTGTTGTGACAGTGCTGAGCACCCTGAGCCGATGGCACCTCTGAGACCCACTTGTCCCATCACCCTGCCCCAGGGGCTTTGCAGAGCCCCACAGGGAGGGAGCAGCAGAGCAGGACACCAGCAGACAGCTGCTCTGCACCCCCAGTTGCAGCCGGGGGAGAGGGGGTCCCACCAGTCGGGAACACCTGTGCCAAAATTGCTATGTCTTCCTCCTTGCAGAGCAGAGGGAACATGGAAACACCCCTTGGAGCCCCCAGCTTGGATGGGGCAAAGGCTGGCCCCCAGCCACGTGCCCCCCAGCGCAGGGACAGAGCTGGCAGGGCCGAAGGAGGCAGTTGTTTTTGATCCAGAGGAAAAAAAGCACAATGTAAAAATAAAAGAAGAGGCAGAAAATTAAACCAGCTGCAGAAACGCATTAGTCAAACCCCGGTGTGGGGGGCACAAGCAAGCTGTGAGCACGCGGCTGGGCAGCCCCCGCAGAACTCACAGGGAGGCACCCCGACATGGCTGGCACAGGGAGATGCTGCAACGGCACAAAAAGAGAAATAAAAACACGCTAAGCATCCCCCAGGCTCCAGAGCACACGCAGCAGTCAGCTCCATGAGCTAAGCCCCAGAGCTTGGAAACACCAGCCCTGCATGGGAAGCGCAGTGGGACGGAGGAGAGCAAAACACCTATGGGCACAAGGAATTTTCCCTGCCTGCTCCTCTGAGTCCCCAGCCCAGCACAGGAGCCAGAGGGGGAGCTCAGAGTAGGGAAGCGCTTTCTCTGCTTGGATCAGGCAGCTTCCACCTTAAATGGGGATGAAAGGTTGTACCTGGATGCAGGAGGGAGAAGTGGTGGCAAAACCTCTTTCTTCCCAACTTCGTGAGCCCTCTTGTCTCCAGCCCATGCTCACCTGGGGCCTCTTTGTCTCTGTGTCTGTGCCAGATCACAGCCCTGCTCGCCAGCCCCGCCGTGGCTGTCACCGCAGCCGAGAGCCAGGCACCACGTTCTGCCCAGGCTGAGCAGCCTCAGGACCGCTGGCAGCGCAGGGACTGGATTTGGCTGATGGCTGGACAAATCTGGCAAGCTCCATCCCTGCCCGCAGCCAAGGACGTGTGAAGCAGAGACTCGAGGGGAGCCCCGGCTGTCACCAGGACCCTGAGGACCTCAGGAACAGATGCCACTGAACCGCTGCGAGGCACTGGACTCCTCCGGGTCCCACCGGAGCTGCTTGCGGTCCCTGAAGGGCTCCTTTCCCCAAAGCCTTGGGAGCCCTGGCCCTGAGCCCAGGCCGGGTGTGCCAGCCCGAGGTGGGAAGCTTTAAGCAAACAAAGCTTAAGTGCTTTGCTGGGCCAGAGCCAGCAGCAGCATGGGAAGAGCCACAGCTTGTCCCTGCCAGCCACAGCCCCGCTTCCCGACCCTCGGCTGCCGGGAGGTGGCACGGGGAGAGGTGGCGAACTGCAGCCCCAGGGAGCCAGAGGGGACAGGGATGCGGGAAAGAGCATCCACCGGCTGCTTGTCAACCGCAGCAGCTGGCACAAGGACCAGCCGAGGTGCCCCAAGGCGCTTTGCAGCCAGCTGTGTCCTCAGAGCAGTTCCCGTGTCCCCAGGATGGCTGTCACCGAGCCCAGGGTGACGCTCAGCTGCCTCAGCCGCTGCGCAGGGGCCACTGTGCACAGCCCTGCTCCCTTCTCCCACGGACACGCCAGCAGCAAACTGACCCCAGACCAGAGCCAGGCTGGTACCTGAGCCTGGTGCATCTTGGAGCAAACCCTGTCTCTGTCCTTGTCCCCGTTCCCACCAGCCTGTGGGCTCTGCTCCACAAACCCATGGCCAGTCTTCACCTCCCACCTCCCAGACCTATCTGAACTCACAAGAAACAGCAGCTGATTGATGCACATTTGGAAAAAGAGTATTTAACTGCCCAACTGCAGATGGTAAGTTATGGAGAGATGCAGTTCTGCAGGGGACAGAGCAACAGCTGCGGGGCCCGGTGCCTGCTGCGGCTGAACCTGCACTGCTGGAGGGGATGGGGCAGACCGAGCAGGACCGAGGGCTGGGGGAGCCAGGAAGGGGACGGGGAAGGATGGGGCAGAGCAGCCAGCAGGACCCCCAGCCCTGTAGCTGGGATCCCGGGGGGCTGCCACATGCCCAGCCCCCAGCATGGACTCAGACAGCGCTGAGCTGCCACAGACACGGCACAAAGCAAAGCCCAGGTATCTCCTCCACACAGACCCGTGCCAAGCGCTTACATTTCAGGACATTATTCTCCTTTCCTCTACAACAAGAGAATTAGCAAGAAGCCTGGAGACAGATAGAGAGACGACCCCCCCTTGGCTCCAGCCTGTTCTTTAGGCAGACCCTCAGTGCTGGCAAAGAGCAGACAGAGCAAGTGCTAAAAATACCAGCACGTCTGGACTCTGTTCAGCAGGTTTCTGGATTAAAATGCCACAAAAGCCACTCTTCAAGCACGCAGGTCGGGGTCGGGCGTCTCCCGGGAGGCACAGTGGAAACACAGATTCCTTCTCCATGGGGTAAAGCTCTCCAGTGCAGCACTGCAGGGATGCTGCCCCAGCAGAGGTACAACCACCCTGGGCAGAGCCAGGACCAAATGCCACCCTCATTGCTAGCAGCTGCAGTGGGACTTGTCCCCGAAGCCACACAGGTCAGGGACAGCCTGATCAGCCTGCCACCCCCGCACCGTGCTCAGGGGAAGGACAAGGCTCAGGGTTTGGAAAATGCTTTGGAGGACACTCACCCATCGAGTTCCCACAAGGCAGGAAACCCCACGGCAACAGAAGACGCCCTACAGGCTCCCGGGGGGGCCTCTGGGCTCCCCAGGTGAGAGGAATCATCCCCCATGCCTGGTGAGGGCTCAATCCTGACAGCCACGGCTGCACCTAGGACCAGGGGGCTGCCGGCTGCCTCCTGCCCCACGGGAGCACTTGGTTCATGCTCCCCACGGGGCTCCAGCATGAGGCAGACACCCCTGCCACCCTCACAGGCACTACACGGGTACGTCTGGGTCTGGCAGCCCCCCCCGCCAGCCCAGGCAGTGCCCCCCTCGCTGCTCACCCCTCGATGGCTGCGTTGAAGCAAAGGCAGGATCCAGGAGCCGGCACAGCAGCTACTGTGGGGACAAAGGGGGGACAAAGTAGGGACAAAGTGGGGACCTTACCTTCTGGCAGGGAGGTGATGCTGATGACTCGGAGGTTGATATTGGGGAGGGGAACAGCACAGACATCCTTCCCCAGCCTCTGCACCAGGGGCAGGAGGAACGTGATCTCATACTTGTGGAGGATCTTCAGGAATCCCACCTGCAAGGAGGGGGGGGACAGGGTGGGGGTCACACCATGCCTCGAGCAGGCACTGAGTTGCATGGGAGGTGGTCCCACGCTGCTATCATCCTGTCTCATCCCGTCCTCCTCTGCAGCCCACCCTGGGGACAGGGACACACCAGGCACCCAAAAGCCCACGGGAAGGTGGAGGGCAGCAGCTGGAGAGGCTATTTCCTAAACAATTGGGAAAAATGTAACAAACACATCTATTTTGGCAGCACAAAGCAAGCAGCAAAAATAACCAGATCTGAGCAAAGCCCTGGGAACAACCACCCTTTGGTGTCATGGGAGCAGCAACCAATTTTCCCAGCGTAAGCCAAACGTGTTCGGCTGCCGTTTCTTGTCTCTAAAAGCCAAGACGTTTCCAAGAGCACGCCTTCAAATGTCATTTATCCACTGCCACGATGAAAACCAGAGCACTTACAGAGCCGGCCGCCTCCAGAGCGGGCTCCATCTCCATTGCACTCAGAAAAAGCCATTTTGGGAAGGGAGCGGTGGGCTCCCCGCCTGCTGCAAAGCTCCGGACGCGCCTGCAAACCCTCCTTGCAGCAGAACCCAGAGCACAGCCAGGATCCAACCCGACCGAGGGTGCAATCCCTTCCCAGGGACACAGGGTACCTATTGCTCACCGACTGCCGCAAACCCTGCCGGCAGCAGCGGGCAAGCCCTGCTGTGGGCACAATTCAGCCGGGCACCCTCGGTCTTCCACACAGACATGTACAGCCTGCTCCAAGCTGCACCTCAACCGCCACATAAATACATATTAATACACACACACACACACATCTATGTATACACACACAGATATAAAATGCACACCATATGCTTGCACATTTCTGGCTACGAGCAGCTCCGAAGCATCACTGCAACGCAGAAACCAACAGAAACAACGACATGCAGCTTCAGGGATTTAAGGCCATAGAAAGACATTTGGTGACTGGCCCTAAAGACCCTTTTCTCAATAGGGGAGAGGATGAGGGTGGTCTCCTGCCTCCGAGACACATGGCGGGTTGCAGGGTGCACCCCAAATCTACTCAGAAGGAAGAGATGTGTGGTTAAACGTGGCCCCAGCATGCTGAGCTGGGCACGGTGGCTGCCAGCTCTGCCGTCAGGGCTGGCAGCACCGAGGGCAGCAGGCAGCTGCCCCCCTTCCCCAGAGAGGCACGTGCAGTGCCGGTGCGCCCACGGCACGCTGCACGGCACGGGTGGGAAAAAATAATAACAACCACCTACAGATTGGCAATTGCTAAGCAATTCACTGCCATTTTTAGGGCAATAACCCATCATCCGCCCGATACAAATAACTGACTCAGAGCTGAAAGGGAGTTTCAGATTGCTCTGCTGCACGCAACGCTGGAGCAACCCAAATGCTCTCCGAGGGGTTTACTTCTTGGGAGAAAAAGGCCTCCAAAGGAGAGGCTGGGATGGAGGGGCTGGCTTTGCGCCAGGTGAAAGCGGCCACAATAAAGCAGCTCTGGGCAGAGGACTGGTGACCTGCACCTCCAAGTCACTGCCAAGGTGCCCACCTCACACCCAGACCCCACTGCCACCAAAGCCCATGGCATGCCAGCACCAAAGCCTCCACTCCCGGCACTCAGCCCTGCTGTGCAGGGTGAGGAGCTGTGGGACGGGGCAGGTAGCAAATGCTCAGGTCTGCAAACCTGCCAGGATGAAATACAAGGTGTCATTAAAGATGGCTTGCTGTCCCCACTGCCATGACCGGCCCCCAGCATGGTTTGGGAGCCACTGTCAAACCTGAACCCACGCTAACACACACCCACAGCCACAGCCACATGGCCAGAGGGAAGCGAGAAGCCACAGCACTGCTGGCACACAGGGCGAGATCCAGCTCAGCCCCGTCCCCCCCACACAGGGGCAGAGGAGACAGTGCCATATCCGTCCCATGTCCCCCCCCCAACGCCAATGTCCAGGGTGCAGCAGGGTCCCCCAGCCCACCCTGCCAGGACTGGGCTCCGCTGCTTGTGATGCCACCAGACCCTGATTTCCAGAGGGGGCCTGCATCCCACCCCCAGCCTGTCAGATCTGGCAGCAGCAACACAGGCCGGGGGCCAGCCCCAGCCAGCCCCAAACCTGCCCCCCGTCGCTGCCAGAGGCTGGATGCAGCCACAGGAATTGGGTGCTAAATGGGTGAATATGGAGCAAAGCACCCACGTTTATACCTGTGCCCTCAGGAGCATCACAGCCCCCGTGGGGAAGCACCTGGGTTCTCAGGGTGCTCCCAGGCCCCCCCCAGGTACACCAGGGAGCTAACGGGGCAAGAAACACCCCCAAATCTGAGAACTGTAACAGAGATGGAGCAACATCCAGAGGTGCAGCGATAGAAACCTCCCCGGAGCAGGCAGAGCTGCAGGCAGCAGAAGCCACAGGTCCCCTGAGCCCCACAGTTCAGACGGCTACAATGGGCAGCACTGGGGGGTACACCCACCCCACAGGGCCCCCAGGATGGACCCAGCCCTGCTGCCACGTGAAGGGACAGGCCAGGGTGGTACTGGGACCCCCCCCGCCACCACCATCCCCTGGGTCACAGCTCCCACCTTGACGAGGAAGCTGCCGTCCTTCTCCTGCGTCACCATCACCGCGGAGTCGTGGAGCTTCTCATCGAAGTGCACGTGGCCGTGGGCCCCCTCAGCGAGCTGGCTGGGGGCGAAGCGCACGCCCCCCCCCTTCACCTTGCTGCCTGCATAGGGAGGAGAGGACAGAGCCCAGGCGTCACTCCCTGCCCACCTAGGATGCACCCACTCCGTCCCCAGTCCCCAGCTCTGCGTCCCCCCCGCAGCCCCTGGGGACAGACCAAGGCTGGAGCATCATCAGACATGGAGGGGCTTCCCCAGTGTCCCCACTCTCCCATTTCAGAAATGCCTCGTGCCACAGGCTAGGGAGGTGGCATACGGACACTGGTGACCAGCGGCCACAGAGAGCTCACCCTCTGAGCAGGGGGGAGCACATGGACCTGCCACCAGCCAATGTCCAGAGGCTGTGAGGGTCCTGTCTGTCCCCTGGGCTCAGCAGCATTTGCTCACTCCCGTGATTTTCTCGGCGCAGAGGAACGTGATGAGCAGAGACACGTGCTGTGCCAGGAAGGGGACACAGGTGGGACAAGGACAGGAAGGAAGGACAGTTTCCCTCGGGAAGGGGTCCCACACATCCCAGGGTGTTGGGCAGGGCTCTCCAAGGCTGCAAAGCTGGCCAGCATGTTGGGGAGCAAACCCCACGGTGCCCTGGGGAAACCCAAAAATGCACCTGCCCTGTGAGGACAGGCACCTGCCTGGGGACACTGAGGTCCCCACAGCGGGCAGGAGCCCGCAGAGGCACAGACACCGCAGCCCTTTCACTTGCACCTTTGCAATAGGCTCTCTGTGAGCTTCCAAGAAAAAACACTCTCTCCTCTTCCTCCTCCTCCCCAGTACACCCCAAGAAACCCCCCAGTCCGGCCGCCAATTGCATCCATCTGGCAGCAGCCGGGAGCAGATTGCCGCCTCCTTAAAGAAAAGGCTCTTTGTGCCTCAGCAGGCTGGAAACGCCGGAGATTTAATAACTCAGCATTGTTCAGCCGGAACAGCTCGGCAGAAATCCCTTCCCCGCACGCAGGGGAAAACAAGAGACTCAGCCGCTTGCAGAGCGATGCAGCTGCACGTGGCTGCAGTGGGGAAGGGGACACAGATGGGACCCTCCCTGCCGAAACGCAGGCAGCCCCCGGCCCACCGTGACAGGGCACGGCAACCCTCATGGGTGCCATCCTCTGGGTGCCATAGGGCAGGACGAGCCCTGGGACCTGCATGGAACCCACACACCAGACAGAAGCTGCGGTGACGGGCAAGGTCTCAGCCTGTGGTTGCCATCAGAAATCCCGATGCCAGCTCTGGGCTCGGAGGAGCTGAGCTCTGATGCCTGCCAGGAGACCGGCAGGGAAAATCCCAAATATGCGTCTCCGTCACACGGCACTTGGAGGCAGCACAGCCGATGCCCGGCATGGAGTCCAGGAAGCCAAGCGGCCCCCAGGGACGAGCATGTCCAGAGGACACTTAGCCATCATCGGCCCAGGCAGCCACGGTGCTCAGCTAGCCCCCTGACACGGTGTGTCTGAAGACCCTCTGGAGAGAGGGAGGTCGGAGGAAGGCGAAGATGGCAGCCAGGCACCGTGGGCAGCTGTCCCAGGAACTGGCTGTCCCGGGAACCAGGTCACCCGCCAGCACACACCCCAGTGACCTTGAGAGGCTGCACCACACGGTGTCCCTGTCCCAGCTCAGGAGGGGCTGACAGGGACTGTCCTCGCCCTGGCAGGAGGGGACAGCCCCTGGCAGAGCCTGGACAGGTGACAGTGGCACCTCGACAGCCCTGGGCGCGTGGGGCAAGGTGGAAGGGGCAGGGGCACCCACCCACACAGGACCTGCCATGAGTCAGCCAGCACGGAAATCTCATCAGGGGCAAAATGCAGTTGTGCGTCCTGCACCCACCCGGCAGCAAGGGGAAGTAGAGGCAGAGGTACAGGCAGAGCCTCCATCAGGCAGGGGCTGGGCAGAAAAATCACCTGGAGCTGGTGTGTTTTATCTCAGGTCCCTGAGTCCTGCCACAGTCACGGCAGGAGGGTCACCGGGACCTGCCGGACCCTGCACGGTCGGTGTGCCAGCAGCCGGTCTGGTGCCATGCTCCCCAGGCACCCAGGGGGTGGGTTTGGGGGTCCGACACACACCCTATGGTGGGGGGGTGGGCCATGGTGGGGGACGCCTGCCTCGCACGTGTCGGCAGCAATCGTAAGCCCTGGAAGCAGATGCCAGCTTCGGAGTCGCTGCGTGCCTCCCAAAACAAGGGTGTCCAGGCCCCAGCATCCCTGGGGAGGCAGGGCTGGAAGCAGGGAAGCACAGGGGGCTCAGGGCTCCCCCAGTACACTGTTCCCCCGCACAGGGACCCCCATCCCCCATGCTGCCAGGAACAAGACAGCCCAGAGCAGGCAACCTGCCTGTCCTTTGGCATCACCACTGACAGACCGCTCGCCTGGCCCTTGTCCTGCAGGGAAGCCAAAGGAGGCTTCACCGCCAGCGGGAGGAAAGCCCCCGGGATGGACCCATCCCACGGCCCCGCTCACCGGCAGTGGGGAAGGAGCCGCGGAGGCCGGAGCCGTGACCAGGCACACAAAGGAAGACGAAATCACGCCCAGCAGCAGCACAAAGAGCCTCTTCGGTCTTTGTCTCTGCATGGCAGAGAGCCGGGTGCTGCCGCCATAGGGCGCCTCATGCCAGCGACCTTTTGGGGTCCCCTCCTGGCACTGACAAAGCGCCCAGCTTCCCAAGCCCGGCACTGCCAGAGCTTTTCAGGGAGGCAGCCGGGGTCTGGGAGAGGCTGGGAGCACCCATTGCCTCCTGCACCAGCCCTGCCTGGGGCAGTGGGTGCCGAGGGTTGTGCCGATCACTAAAGGGGGACTGCAGCTGAGTGGTGCCGGCAGCATGCCACCGGAGCCCCCACCCTGCCGCAAGCCCCCTCAGTGGATGCTCACTCACAACTCACGGCAGAAAAACAGCAATAATGTTCCCCCATTCCCCCATAGCCTCTGACTTGCTCAGCTGCTCCCTGGGCATGGAGAGGGCAGCTCCAGGCAGCCCTTGCATCCCTGGCTGCAGGCAGAGGGACCCCCCCAGCAGGGTCATGGGCAGAGAGACCCCCCGGCAGGGCCGCGGGCAGAGGGGCTTCACCGGGAAGGAGCATCAAACTTGGAGACTGGTCCCGTATCAGGAGCAAGGAGCCTGGGAAGGGGCAAGGGGCAGGCAGGCAGGAGGGGACGCCGGGGACTCACCCTTGCTAGCCGTAGCCATGTGTCCCCACAGCAGTCGTCCTTGCGCAAAACTTCAAAGGCACGGACAGGAGGCCATCCTCCGGGGCCACTGCCGCTGCTCCCGAGCACCGGAGCTGCGGAAGGAACGGGCAGGGTTAGGCAGGGACAGGCAGAGCCGGGGAGGGCATCTGCTGCCTCCGTCCGGGTGCCAGAGCCAGCCGAGCACCACGGACACGACGGCAATGCACGGCTGCGACTCCGGCACTGTTCCGGCACAGACCTGCCGGGGAGGAGTCTCCTGCAGCTCAGGGGCGTCAGGCAGCCCGGCTTCGGCCAGCAGCAGGCAGCGTGCCAGGGCCTGCATCCAGCCCTACCCCAAGGCGTGATGGGCACAGGCAGGGCAGGAGCAGTGGCAGGACGGGCAGCTCCTCTGTCCCGCTCCACCATGAGTCTGCGGTGTGACCCAGCCAGCCCAGGCTCCTGCTCTGCCGGCTCTCAGGGATGACCCCCCCAGCACCAGGGTGGGCACTGTCCCTGCATTAAGGCAGGAAGAGCCACCAGAGACAGTCTGGGGGTGACAGGGCTCATGCCCCCCACCTCCCACCCAGGGGTCCAGGATCTGACACCCCAAAGACCCCTTTGATGGAAGCTCAGGCTCAAACCTCCTCCCTGGGGCTCACCCAGCCCTGCTGTCCCACAGGAGGCTGTGGGAGACCAAACACGGGCTGGTAACATCACCGGGCACCTGATCCCACCACCGGTAACCTGGTCCCAACACTGGGCACCCGAGGAATCCGGCAGTAGGAGGCAGGTGCCTGAAACGGTGCCGTCAGCAGCCCAGCTTGCCGAGCACAGGGAAATTCATGGAAAAAGCATTAACAGTGTCAGCCCTGGAGGAAAATAAGATAAAAAAAAAAAAGTAGAGCTAAAGGGCAGGAAGCCTCTCCAGGGGCGGGGGGGGGGGGGGGCGCGGGTGGCAGACCCTCACCGTAGCCCCGGCGCCCCGCAGTGCTGCTGCCCAAAGATGAGATGATCCAGCCTGGAAAAGAGCTGGGAGGGAAAAGCCCAGGATTTGGGGATGCCTAGAGAGATGCACGAGGGGACACCGAAATGCATCCATGGGCAGCACAGGGTGGGAGGAGACCCCAGGACTGGACACAGGGAGGAGGGGGACACAGGGCAAGCGGCCCCTGAGCAGGGGCAAAGTGTGGGGCTGGCGGTGGGGGACTCGGCAACCAGGGTGGGCACCGCGCCTGGGCTCGCAGCAGGGGCAAACGCGGGGCCCACGGGCTCCCCGTGCCCTTGAGGGGGTCAAGACTCGCCCCCCCGTGGCTGCAGTCCCGGGGTAGTGGGCACTCCACAGACCCCACCGACAGTCCCACGCCGTTGCCCCCCCAGCAGCCCGGGCAGCGGGTCCCCAGCGCTCAGCCCGTTCCCGGGGCTCCCCAGCCCCCCCAGGCCGGGGGCGAGCGGCAGTAAGGAGGCGGCGGAGCTGACGCACGCCTCCCCGCCCGAGCCACGCCGGGTGGCCCCAATCTGCCTCCGCCATCACCGGCGCGGCCCCGGTCCCCGTCACGCGTGGGTGTGGGTATCCACACACACACACACACACACCCGTGTTTTCACCCTCCGCCGGCTCAGCCCCAATGCTGCAAAGGGGGTCCCGGGGATGCGCCCCCGGCCTCGGTGCTCCCCTCTGCAGCATGACGGGACAGCGACCGGCCCGGGCGAGCATCCTACTCCAGCCCACCGGGACCGGGAGAGCGAGGACCCCACCGGAGCAGTCATGCCCAGAGGGAACAATACGGGGAGGGGGAAGCCCGGGGGCCCCTCCCCGTCCCCGCCGTCCCCGTCCCTTCCTCACTCACCCCCGGCCGGTGCGTCCCGGACGCCGCCGTGCTCCCCGCTTCCCACTACCGGGACACGCCCCCCTCCCTCCTATTGGCCCCGACACACCCTCCGCCGTCCCTATTGGTCCACCCCCTCGGCGGTCACGCCTCCCCGCCACGCCCATCGGCTGCCTTTCCGACGGCGCCGCTTCCCGAGGAGCGGTCCGGCGGGAGTAGGGTCGTCTCCAAGGGGCGGGACTGTCGCTAGGAGGCGTGGCGAAGGGACTGGGGCAGCCAATGGGGGGGGGAAGCGCACGGCTGTAGGGCGCCACACGTGGGCGGCGGGGTGCGCGGCGGCGCGGAGGGGAGGGGGGGCACCCCGCCGGTGTCCCCCCTCATCCCCGGGCGATACGGTTGCTATGGCAACCTATCATCGCCTGGCAATTTTTATTGCTCAGACCTCAATGTCCGAACCCGGGCCCCTTCGGTGATGAGAGGGAGCACGGGGGAAAAGGGCCACGGCTCGGCTCACCGGCGGGAGCCGGCCATCGGGGGCGTCGAGGGTGGGAACGGCAACCGGGACACGTCCCTGGCCGGGAAAAGGCAGCCGGTTCCCTTCCAAAATGCACGTCCACCCTCCTGGGAATGAGCGGGGGGGAGGCAGCGGCCCCCCCGCCACACACACACACCGTGCAAGGCAAGAGCCGTCCCCCCGGGGCGGGGGGCAGCGGGGTCAGGGCTCGCAGGCAGGGCTGGATCTCACAGGCAGGGACAGGGGACACGGCACACCCCAGGGGCTAATCTGTCCCCCCCCCAAAAAAAAAAACCTCTTCCTGCAGCCTCCAGATGCCAGAACGCTTAAAAAGCGCGGGGCTTCGTTCCCAGGGAGCTGCTGGAGCCCCAGCCGTGTCCTCGCCTCCAGCACGCGTGACACCGCGCACGGCTCGGCCCCGCACTGGAAAAAACAATCGTGTTTGACCCTAAAAAAGGCCGCAGGTGACTCCCGTGCAGTGAAGGTTGTGGCCAGACCCAACCCCAGGCATCTCCCCACCGGGGGGGACGGCCCCAGGACCAGCCAAGGGCAGGCAGAGGAGCGGGGGGTACTACCGGGTACCCCCACCCCACAGCTAGGTTGCCCACGCGGTCAGTGCCAGACCCACGAGCAGGTCTGTGTGCTGAAGCACGGATTTTCTCAGAGATTACAAAAACAAACAGCTTTGGGTAAGGGATTAAATCTCAGCCTCCGCCAGCGCACGTCTCCCCAGCCCGGGGCAGCCCAGTGGCGTCCCCACGCTGCTGACAGCCCCTCGATGCTGGATCAGCTGGGAAATAAATAAATACCCCCAGGCTGGGGCAGGCGGGACCCCCGCAGCGACTCAGCCTGGAAGGGAGGTCTCCGAGTGATGACCCGGCTTTTTAATTACTGACTGCAAGACAAAGGAAGGAGGAACCACTGCTGTCGGCAGGCGATGGCTGGAGGGCTGAGCGAAACCCATGTGGTAGCGATGCTGCTGCCTCCCTGCCCGCCAGCAGGCATGGCGGGGGGGACCCGGAGGTGGGCACGGAGGTCCCTGCTTCTGCATCTGCCTTTGCCACCTCTGGCTTTTGCCCTTGAGAGTCTGTCCTGGGAACTGGGGCAACTGGGAGGCACTGGGATGGCTCTTCCAGGTCAGCAGGAGATCCCACGGGTGGGAGAGGTGGGGCAGGCAGCGGGGGGGCAGTCCCGGGCAAGGGGCTGCCAGGCAGGCGAGGGTCCGCTCACCGCTGTTGGCACTGGGCTTCCTGCAGACGCCGGCTGAGGTCGTCTATCCGCACATTCTTGAGGTGCAGCAGCTGCTCCAGCCTCCCCACCTTCAGCTGCAGGATCTGAGCAGAGACCCCGACACCCCCTCAGCTTGGTTTTGGGGAGAAGGAGGCACATCCATCCACCCCAGACAGGCTTGGGGGGGGGGCGGGGCTTGCCTGACAGCCAGCAGCGCGGACGAGGGGGACGGGGCGGGGCGGGGGGGACAGGGAACTCAGGGCTGGGCTGATGTGGCTGCTGGGGTCACTGAGCGGCATCAGCCATCTTTAACCACAAGGGAAGCTGAGGCAGGTGAGCACCACTGCCAGATTTGGGGTCCCAATTCCAGCTCCTACAACAACCCACCTCAAGTTCACACTCCCACAAAACATGACCCGGGAGTCCCAGCTCCCCACCAGGACCTGGTGACAGCTCTTCCCATCTGAGATGCCCCACAGCATTCCTTCCCCTCTTTCAAAATTTTACATCTTAGGAGATGTTTTCCAGCAGAAAAGCCCCGGTTTTAGATAAGACAGAGCCACTGCCCTGGCTTCGTGCTGAATGAAGCTCCATTTCAAAAATCACCCACTGCCCAGGGGCGAATAAGGGATGTCCAGAGCCTGGTCTGCAGCCCCAAGGGTGGTCCAGGGGCCACAGCAAGCCACGAGCAGAGGGTCTGTGCAGCTGTCATGCCCGTTCTGCATCACCCTCATTACTGCGGGCTGGAAGACAGACCAGAAAGGATGAGGATCGGGAACATTTTGGGAATCACGGATTGATGTGACTGATGTGGGTGCGTGCCACAGAGATTGAGGGCACGCCCAGGCAGGAAGGATTGAAAGAGAAAGCTGTTCACCCCAGGGGGAGATCTGCAGGCTGAGGCTTTACAAGGGCTTTTACCCGATAAATGCCAGAAAAACACCTGCTGCAGCAGACGGCCGCAGGGACAGAACCACATCTCCAGGCCAGGCTGAGGCATTGCTGCCTTTCTAGCCCGGTTTGACCAGACCTTTTAGAAGCCCGGCCCTGCCCAGGAGCAGCCAGAGGAGCATCCGAGCCAGACGCTGGCCAGCTGGACCACGGCAAAGCCAGTGCCAGGCTGGCCCATGCCTGAGGGTGCCACCAGAGCCTGGGTACAGAGACAGGAGCAGCCCAGGAGGCTGATGGCACCGAGCAAATGCCTGTTTGGGCTGTCATGTACACCACTGTCACAGGACAGTTGGGAAGGCAAAGGGAGGCTGTCCCTGCCTCGGTGCCGCCACGGGGACAGCACTTGGCTGGGCTGATGGAGGGTGGGCTCACCTGGATGGTTTCCTGCGCCAGGAGCAGGGCCTGCTCCCTCTCTGCCAGCTGCAGGCGGATGGCGGAATCCCCCAGGGGAGCCTGGGCACAGCCATGGCAGCTCTTCTTCACCCTGGACCAGGAAAGGAAATGCCGGGACAATAACTGACCCCTCCTGGAGCAATGCTCACAGCCCATGGAGCCATACAGGCCATGGGGCTCAGGCACATGCCCAGCTCCTCCACATCCTGCCCCACACACCACTGCCTCTGTAGCACTGGGCTCATCTGACCCCCACGGGGACCCCCAAAGCCTCTTCCCTCAAGAAGACCCCAGGAGGGCCACCTCACCAGCACCCAGCACATGCTTGCAGTGTCCCTGCACAGCACCAGCAGTCCTTACCCAGCAGCTCTGGGAGAATCCTGGGCATAGCCTCCTCCCATGCTGCTCTTTGCCTTTGAGTAGCCTGCAAAACACAGCAGTTAGCACATCATCTGCCCAAACAGCTCTGTTGCCCCACCACCACCACCACCACCAGGATGCACCCTTCCAGCAGTGTCTCCTATCCCCCCAGGGCTGGCCAGGCTCGTTATTTGGGTGCCCCAGCACAAGACAGGGCTGTGTATGCCCCCCCTCCAAGGTCATGGTTTGGGACCCAGGGAGCCCATAGTATGGCCAGGATGGGACCTTCCTTCCCGATGTGCCACGCACCGGCCCTACCCGTCTCCAGGTAGCTGATATCTTCTAGCGCTGCCCGTACGCCCAGCTCCTGCACGGAGAGGCAGGAAAACACCCATCACGCCTGGCCATGAGCAGTGGGTTGCCCTGTGGGTGAGCCCACAAACAGCCCCTGTGCAGACAGGGGGCCTGGCCAGGCCCCAGTGTCAGGAGAAGGGGGGACAGGTACCCCAGCCTGCCTGGCTGCTCGTGCCACCCCTTGCTGAGCGGTGCTGGGGCTTGAGGCCCTGGGGAACACTGGGGTGGGGGGTTTGCTCCCACAGCAGTGGGAGAGGCCAGTTCAGAGCAGGGTGTTCCCAGCATGGCTGCAGTGCCTGCTGTGCCAGCGTTACAGCCTGAAGGCAGGGCTGGGACTCATCTGCCTGAATTCCTGTCTGCTTCAGGGCCACAGCCCTTCCCCTAGCGAATTCCTCCTTTGACCTGAGCACCAGAGTCACTGGCAGAGACAGCCCGGGCCAAGTCAAGGCTGCAGAGCAAGAGGGACCGCAGCACTTCCCACGACAGCGCACGGCTGCCATCTGCGGCCGTGCCGCCTGCATCGCTCCCAGTGGGGTGCTCCTACCCCGGCTCTGCCCACGCGAGGGGCTCCCCTGCCTCTGAACACCCCACTGCACTTCCCCGTGGAGCTGCAGACAGGGAGATGGCAACAGGATCCTTGTGATGAGATGGGATAGTGACACCCACAAGGATGTCTAGAGCTCAGCCCGGCTCCCCTGGCCCTGCCCTGATTACACTGACCTCTCTGTGGGGTGGCCACTCACCCTCATTGCCCTCTTGCCCATGGCACATGGCACCTACAAGCAAGACATGGCACACTGGGTGCCCCCCTTCCCCCAGGCCCCACTGACCTGGCCTGGGCTAGACACCGCCTTGCTCTGTTGCTGCTTCTCCTCGATCTTTTGCTGCAGCACGAGCAGCACCTGCTCCACCGTGCCCGGCCGGCACTGCACGACCTGCCGGATCATGTCACCCGGAATGGAGAAGTTCAGCTTACTCAGCACTTTCCTAAAAGAGGAGTCAAATGAGCACCCAGGAGGGCAGGGAGGCAGGCACCCCCGCTGCCCGCAGAACCCTTAGCTGTGTCCCAGCTGGCCAGGTCACCAGCCAGGACAAACAGGGACTCTCTGTACAGC